TTCCGCCCTATAATCGCCCGTTAACTGACCAGCCCCTCTACCTCACGAAACCGCTACGTATCGAAAATGTAAACCATTTCTAGGAGGGGGCTAATGTAGTGATTTACTTTTACGAAGAAAACACAACTGTTGATAGATAAAAATTTATTATTGTACCTAATTCTGAAAATAATTGTTATACTGTACAACTCTTGTTTATCTGTACAAAAGACTATCTCTCGCGCGTCAAAGATGTTATTCCCATTCTCCTCTCTGCACGTCTCCTGCATGGACGTTAGCTTTCTGTACGCCATCTTGCCTCGATATTATTTAGATATCACGAGGCCAGTATCAAATATACTTCTTCCTCTAGAATCTGTTTGTTTCTTGATTCTTTGAATCCGGGAGTAACATTTGTGCTCCCGCGAAGAAGTATATTGTACGAAACGCTATAACTGTCTTCAGCAAGTATTTTATAGAAATCACAGACTAAAGGATTTTTACTAGATAACAGTAATTAACGATGTAGCTATACTCATCTATATGCTAACAGAGTTATTGTCACTCAGTTAAGTGACTAAACTAACTTCCTATCATAATCAGTATTGTGGTTACTCGATGGTCAGTATCGATGAAGGCGGTTAACCTTCGGGGATGACCAATGATTCAGCGTAATTCTGAGAGACCGTATGAACGGAGTGAAATTAGGCATTACCCGGTCACGACTTAAAAGTATTTCGCAATGTAAGTTTGTTATCAGGGAATGAACACACATCTAGTCGGCATGACATGGATACTTTCAAGAATAACAAGGAGAGAGAACAGAAAATAAACCAAAAAAAGAGACAGCCAACGCCATCTTCATAATTTACATGTACTCTTGGACCTCTCACCATTAACCGGAAACAAACCAATATTCGATAGCTGATTGGGACTCTTAAACATTCCAGAATATATTAAATCCTTTCCCCTTCATTGGTATATGGTCAGCAGTAGAATAGCGAAAAAGGTCAACTTCGAAGTAGTGTGTTCAACTGAATCATCTGACCCAAATATATCAACTAAGCCTCTTACAATAAAACCGGCGGGTCGCTCACTCGCAGACCAGTAGGCAAACAGCGACAGAATAAAAAGGCGTCTCAAAATTCAAGTGAGGCAGCCTATTGTTATGAATGACAGTTGTATTGCATATGCAACGGCAACATTAAAGCTCCCAAACGCTAAACATCCAGGACAGGAATGACAGACGAAATCCGCTAATTCTATTCAATAATAATTCTGTTTATCCTCAATTATTATTGTGTTACACGAAGCACTCCATTTTAGCGGCAAGATCAAATCGTTACGAATATTAGCACATTTACTGTAAAAGGTTGCTCAGTTAGATTAAAAAAGAGACTTTTTATGTGTTCGCAGGTCTCCTCGTCAGGAACAGTTTGATACAGGCGAAACTTCAACAAGTGATTACAAATGGTATATGTAGACAGCCGGGTTCTTTGGTAGTGTGTTTAAATCAGGATAGCATTTGTTGGAAAATGTTGACTGAAAGGCGCTCGGTATTAGTTGTACCCTACGTATAGTGAATTTTGCATCTTTCACAGCTTACAGATATCTGAAAATGATGCAGTGGAAAAAAGATAAACTATGTCCTAATGTCGGAAGGTAGGCTGCTGGCAAGTGGTACTGTCCTAAAAAGGAAAAGTAGACTAAAATCTCTTTAATCCTGGGAATAATTAGTATCCCATCTATTTAGGATCCGGAATGCAGCTGATGGTAAATGGTCCTCAATGACGGTAACTTTAGACTCCGCACAAGTTGCCCAAAACTTTTACCAACATTTAGATCAAATCCAGTTTGGCTGTACGCTTCGATCCGGGAAGTCATGACTAACCACGATCAGTACCAGCAGATGCAAGAATAGCAAGAGGCACCAAAACATCCAGTAGGGCGGTTCACGTAGATAGTTAGCGATACTTTGGTTGAAGGATATGCGCACGGTGTGTAACTCCAGCTGTGACTATCACACAGCTTAGGCCTACACAACACGATGGCAATTAGTTTTTCTTGGAATCCACATCTATTATATCTTACAACTGTCAAGTCTTTGGGGTTGAGGTCTACACAACACAAAGACGCTTCAAGTTTGACGCAGTGCAAGAAGTGATTTCTTTATTCGCATTTTAAGTCGTGGAAGCTTCACTAAATTTATAAGGTGACGGAAAGGAGTATGTACGAGGAGCATTTCCATTTAAGTGGACGATGACCAACGGTAAAATACAAATAAAAAAGAAATTTACAGCAGCCGTTTCTCATATTACTGAACAACTTGCTAGAAAATTCCTCACTGAGGAGGTGCGCCAGATTCTGAGACAGACCACCAAGGACTGACAGGTAAGCTGGAAGTAATAAAGAATCTGTGCTATTAGATGTACACGAAAATAATTCCAAATAAAAATGGCTGTCACTGTTATGATAGACAACGATGTGTGCTTGGAAGGTATAGCTTTCTACCAAAGCGACAGGGTACGCGAAATCAGGAGTTGTGGTGGATGCATACTAACAGCTTTTTCAAAGCTTTAATACGCTTTGGTTCAAAATTAACCGACGGAATATAATCGTGCAGGTGGTACTGAAACAATAATGGAACGATATATTTGATTGGAGGGATTTACCAGCTCCACATTAATAATATGGCCCAGAAAGATAAGTTGACTGAGGCAATACCATAACTACCACTCTGTCGACAGCTAGAGGTATCAACACTCCGTCTCAAAATCTCGAGAAATGGGGGCAACTCCCACCGGTTTCTTCCAATAGGGAGTTGTCACAGGGGATGTATTCAAGTCTATCGGAGTGGTTCACTTGGTAAAGCATCCAGAATAATGCTTAATTAACATTAAAACATGAAAAAGGATACAGACTAAAGTTTGAAAAATCGACCTACCCCTTCTTTCTGAAAGACGGTAAACCTTTAGACTGAGTGCAGAGACTAGCAACGAAATGAATGGTAGGTGAATGAATAAGCCTTACCATGACATACTGTAATAATATGGGTTATTCCCTCTTGGTTATGGCGAGACGATACGGAGACGATACGATTATAGCAGGAAACGTCGAATCACTCTGACATGAGTATCTTGCCAAAATATCACTCTAATGATGAGAAAACATCAAAGTATGAACAGTTGTCCAAGATTAAATATAAAAATTTATTGGTTATTGTACAAGCTATATCCTAGAAGAGAGTCAATTGAACTAATTTGAATGTCAAGGTATGAGGAGTTTGAACTGTTTTCGTCGAAGTAAGCCGATTACGATTATTCATTTTCGAACTTTCAAGGGATTTGTTGTGTTGCAAAAGAAACTGTTGTTTTCAGATCCATCATACAATTCGGGGTTTTATTTGCTGCTTATTTAATATATACGAAATACAAAATTCACGAAAACCTATTATTCTCCGATGCTCAACAAATTTATGTAGTTCCACAGGGATCAGTAATTTATGTCCCATTTTAGACAATATTTTTCAGGTTATTAGTGACACTAAAGACCATGCTCTTTTCCTGACCATCCACTTGGACACTGATGCTTCTCCACGTGAATGTTTGCAGTCGATTGGACGTATCCAGGTATTTTATCATGTCCGATACTCTTGATTTTAAGCCATTTAAAACTCAGCACTCGCTTTTATTTCTACACCATTAAGTAAGAAGCAGGTGCACTATGACTTTGGTGCACATCATCAATGCATTTGCATAGTTTTGAGAAATCATACTTCCTTATTGTTTACATCATTCTGATAGCTTTATGTTCATTTTAGAGATTTGTTACCACAATTTGTCCGCCACATTTGTGTCAAGATGAAATTCTTTATGGTGTCGGTTTTGGTTTTGATTTCTTTCGAAAAATCAATCCTGATTTTGAATCTAAAGGAATAGAACGCTTCGAATATCGTGAAAGATCAGGGGCTTTTGGTACACTTCCTAATACAGGAAAGTCTATGTTCCGTTTGTTAGTATGTTACAATGATTGCTCATTGACTTTTTTCCGTAACCAAATTTACAGAATTTAGTCAAGATGTTTCTTGCTAACTACATTTAGATTTCTTTTATCTTTGTCATTACGTCAATTTTTTCTTACATATTATTTCAAAATTGATTTTCTAGTTAGAACAAAATACGATCGGTTTTGAAAATTAAGGGTAACTTGATTTTCAGGCCTTCTGTTTACGCTTTGGATAATGCTACCTTAAAAATGAGCCTAATTAAACCTACAGCATAATTTTAGGTGGCTACCAATTGTAGATTATTAAAAGGAAGGATGAACAAAGTGATCTATAGTAAAGATAATTACAACTAAATGAAAATATTTTCTAAGAAATCATCTTAGCAGAAATAAATTTAAGTTGGATAATACGGAGATGTTAACTGCACCTGCTATATAGTTATTGAGCTGATATTTAAAAATCAGTAAGGCTAGCGAAAATGTAATCATTATTTCTCGGTTTTCCAATCCTTTTCCCGAAGTAATCTCTCTAGATTCTTTATAAGAAATCTTTAGCTGACTCAATAAACCTAGTTTTAATCTTTTTTCTTAATAGGAGGTGATATATTTATTCATGCTAAATGTAACAATTATGGCAAGTTATTTGAGTTGGCACAAACTATCATCAGTGATTTACCACCTAGATCTGTAGCTCGATTCGAAGATATTTACGGTTGGGTTTATCGTGATAGACGTGATTTGAGTGGTTTTATAGATGGTAAGTTATTTTTAAAATTAATTTTAAAACTCAAGATTTAAAGAAATAATAATACTTAGTTCATCGGATTCACATAAACCGATTTTTGAAGCTTATCAACCAATTTTTTGAATCAAAACTGAGTATACCTAGACTATAAAGTTTGAATCTACTAACACAGCTCAGTCCAACAGTCTATAAGTCCATACGTTAATGCTACGTCTTTGTATTTTATGCTTGTAAATCTCTTTCAACTAACTCTTACAAGTAAAGTTAGGCTTCAGTTTAGTATAATATAATAAGCATCTCAATCACCTTAGTTGATCATAGTGTACAACATTATCAATCAATTTCTCATTGATAGTTGATACCCTATAAAAGTTGAAGACACAATCAAACCTTAAACCTATATTTTGTGTTATTTGGGAAAAGTAGTTATTACTAATTTTTAAGAGATATTGTATATAGAATTCAAAACCAAGTGACTGTTGCTCACTACAACAGCCATTATTGCGAGTCAGTTAGTTTCAACGTAGAACTTCGTATGTATGTGTACATCAGTCCATGTTGCCATACCACATTAGCACAGAGACGCAAATGTCAAATCAAATCCCATAGAGATAAAGATAGTAGAGGTAATAATGGTAATGAAGAAGACTAGGGTTTGATGATATTATTCAAGAAGTATAATTCAGTGTGATAAGGTTAGAAAGACAAAGGCAGAGATTTCAACGAATCTAGAAGATTAGGATTTGAGCGAGCACACTTGCGCCATCGCACATGATTCTGAGCCATGTCGTTCAAGGTCTCTAACCATTAGTGACTTTCGTCTCGAGGACCTCAACCAGGTAGCCTACATCTACCGACATGAATAAGTCCACTTGTCAGTGACTTCATGGATTTCTGTCATGTTTTGGTCTAGCCGCCCCTAACTTTCTTCCAACCTACTCCCACAACATAAAACATAGCTCGTCGATGCAGTCGGTGGTTAGGCATTCGTAACACATGTCCCAACCACCTCAATTGATGAAATTTCACTACTTCATCTATTGACTTGCCATCCTTACCTAGTATTCGTTTCCTAACGACAGCATTGCTTACTCGGTTGTCCCACGATATACGAGCAATGTTTCTAAGACATCTATGATCGAATACTAGTAACCTACGAACATCTACTCTTAACGGCCATGTTTCGCATCCATATAGGAGAACGGAGCGAACTACTGAACAGTACACTCATCCTTTGTTTAGCACGCGGACATCTCGCCTTCACCATAAACGGCGTAAATCGGCAATAACAAATCAAGCTTTCTTTATCCGTAGTCATTATTGTATAGCGTGTTCAATGATCTATTCCCTTTCAATAAAATTTAACTTAAAGATAGAAGGATACCTTTTTTCTTAGAAATGGTTCTATATGTTGTAGTAATAAATGTTAGTCAGATTAATTGAAGCATGATTGAGTCAATGAATGAATTTTACTACAGTTTTCATTTATTTATGACTTTTACATTTTGGTTGACACCTTTTTTTAGTCGTTTTTAGCGGTATCGTCAAAATTACTGATTAAATAAAATACAGAAATTATGAAGAAATGTTTAAATGTGATATTTTAATGTTAATAAATGATGAAAAGTAGTATGTTGTAACGTTAAAAAAAAGATTAGGTTAAGAAAATTTGTAAATAATTATTTCCTATGTCTTGCCTACATTTTGAACTATTCGTACAATCTTCAGTACCAATTAACTTATTTGATTAGTCAGTTCTATAATCTTATGGTCATTAGCATTAGAATTTTTTTTACTTATTATTTTTCACATTGCAACTAACTGATCCCTGGTTCGGTAACCTGGTAGCTAGTCTCAGCTCGGATATAGAAAGCTCGATTGGCTTTTGCCAACCTGCCTCATCTATGGTGCAGGAGAGGTGTCCGCTTGCTAACCAAAGGACGACTGTACTGCGCAGTAGTTCGCTTCGTCCTACTATACGGATGCGAAACATGGCCGGTAAGAGTAGACGACTTTCGTAGTTTACTAGTCTTCGATCATCGGTGTCTCCGATGCATTGCTCGTGTATCCTGGGACGGCCATATAGGCAATGCTGTCGTTAGGAAACGAGTTCTAGGTAGGGATGGCCAATTAATAGATGAAGTAGTGAAACTCCATCAGTTGAGGTGGTTGAGACATGTGTTCCGTATGCCTAACCACCGAGTGTCGCGACGCGCTCTGTTTTATGGTGTAGGAGTAGGTTGGAAGAAAGCTAGGGATGGCCAAACCAAAACATGGCACAAATCCATGAAGTCACTGACAAATGGACTGAGTCATGTTGGTAGATGTAGACTACCT